GATTTGTCTAGGACTGGAGAAGGAGAAACCCAGATGTCCTCCTTCCTTAGCTGATATTGTAGCCACTAATCAGATTTATCTCTCTCCCGCCAACTCCTTCCTGGTAAAATAGCACAGCCTTTTTTGTTGTTGTTCCTTTTTCTTTCCCCCCTCCAATGGTTCATTAAAAATGTTCTGCCGGGATGTTGCAGCTGATATGTGATCTCCTTTGCACGACTGTGCGTGGAGCAGACAGCAGCAGCAATGCCACTGTATTGCAGAAAAAAAGAGCAAGATGTTTGGTACAGCTGCAAGTAAATGGCGAGGACACAATGCTTGGCAGCCAGACTGCTCGCTAACCTCCTGAATGGAGGTGTCTGTGTATTTCCCTTTATACTTAAAATAGAAACATATAAATTGTCGCTGCCTGTTTGCACCAGAGCACCTGCACGGGCCGCGCGCTGCAGGCTCCCCATCTGCTCGCCTCGCCGTGACAGCAGCCTGGGCATGGGCGAAGGGGGAGACGAAGCAGAACGGCGAGAGCCGCAGCGCCGCCGCGCAGCCCCGTCGCCCCCGGCCGCGCTGGCGCTGCATCACGGCGCTCAGCCCATCTAACAGGGCATCAGCTCGTCTGCAAGTTAGTGACGGAAATTGCTCATCAAAAACTGCTTTCGGGGGAGAATTGGCACAAGCTTCCTGTGCAGTGCAGAGCAGAGCAGAGCAGGGCAGCAGCTGCGCACCGGGTGGGAGCGCAGTTCCCTGTTTGCTGCTGCTGCACTGATGGCAGCTGCTGCACCCAGCCCTGCAGTGCCAGCAGGTGTGCGGGGTCAGAGCCATCGGCTCTGCCCAGCTGTGCTCAGCAGCGCCCACCGGCTGCCCTGGCCTCTCTCCAGCAGTGCCAAAGCGCTTGTTTCTCACTAAAACACGGCCGTCCTAGCAAGCAGAAGTGCTGCAGAGGGCCATTGTCCAGCGCCCTGCACTAGCGCCTGGCACAGCCATTTTGGCAGTTGCCACGATGCTTTTCCAGAAAAAAAAAAAAAAAAACATGGAGTTTGCCAACATGTCACTGCGGAGGGACCCAGTCAAGAGGGAGCCCCTGGCAAAGGGCCCTGTCCTGAGCCCGACCTGGTGCTCCCACCTCCACGGCCGGCAGCCGGGTGGGAGCTGGGCTAATTGGCTAATTGGCTAATCGATCACCATTGCACCAGCTAAGAGGCTGCCCGGCTATGCAGAAGGAGCTAATGTAGCGCCAGGTTATTTGATCTCAATAAATCGTTTAAAAATATTCAGCTGCTATTTACATTAGAGAACCTCTTGATGCCTCTAGGCAGAAACATAGAGGAGATTCAATATTTGTTATACATTAATTGGACAGACTTAGGTGAGTAAATTTACCTTAATAGCCTCTTGCCTAATAATGTTATGCCCAGGAGAGCGAGGAGGGGTTTTGCTGGAATGCTCGGAGCTGTGAGAAGCGCCTCGTCCCTCACTGCCTGTTCATGTTTTGCAGTGCCTAGAAGAGACCCGGGCTCAGCGGCCCCGCAGGCCGTTCCCGCTGCTGCTGGCGGTGGTTTTCGGCAGGAGGGTGCCCGGCCGCGCGCTCAGCTGCTGCTGGAGGGTGCTCCTGCGCGCGGCCCGGCCGGCAAGGCTCCGAGCGCCTTCATCTGATAACGGCTGGGCATGTTCTTACTGTTAAGCATGTGCTTAGCTTCTGCTGACTGCAGACCCATACAGGCAATGTCCCATCCGACGGGTTTATTAAGGCAATAGCGAGGCAATTAGTGAAAAAATGTAGCGCACCAAATTAACCTAAACGCCACTTGGGCCTCTTCTGGTCTGTAGCTCCGTGGCGGGTTTCTGCAGGGCGCCTTTTCCTCGTCTGCCTGTCTGGACAGCTGCAGCAAGGAAACAGTTTGTGAGCCCGGAGTTACCTGCTGTACCGAGAGTGTTGGGAGGAATTTGCAGTGCGTCCATGCAGCGTCACTGAGGAAAGAAGGAGCAAATGGAAGGGGTGCCGTGTTCACTGGGACTAAGTAGCCCCACTTCACTTTCCACCATGTCCTCCCTGAACACCAGGGACGCAGCTGGCTCTGTCGCTCAGCCCTGGTCCGTGCAAACAGGGAGCGTGACCCGTCCCGTCCCTCCATCCCTCCTTCCCAGCGCGGGGCTCTGCTTCAGCGCGATGCTGCCTGCGCTGGACAGGGCTGAGCGACGCTTAAACAAACAGCCTCCATCACAGCCCCCAGAAAGTCAAGTAACTTCTTAATTGGTTTTGCACGCCTTGGAGCAGAGCCTTCCCTTGCAGAAAGGGTCAGGAACGTGGCAAAAGGAAAAAGAGCATTTGGGGCTGTGTGGGGGCTGCGTGAACGCCGTGCACGAAGCCAGTCCTGCTTTTCATTACATTGCCTGCAAGCAGCCTGCTTTGTTTCAGACAAACAAAACTACCGCCAGGAAGAGCTTGATTCTTTCAGTCTGTTCCTGAAATAAGAAATGTTTCCTTTTGCATTTTCCACTCTTACTACACCAGTCGTTGTGACATTCATGACAGAGGCAGCAAATGAGCCATTAAGTGATCAGCTCAGAGGGAACAGCAGCAGCCTGGGCCCAGGTATTCTCCTCCCACTTGCAGATTGATGAAAGGGCAGGAGCAGCGACGGCTGCTCCCTAGGGCACTGGCCAAGACCATTAGGCAGAAGCTTTGGAGACTCTGACCTTGCCAGTGAGGGCCTGAAGGCAGTGGGATTTCTGGGCTACTGCCCCAAATCAAATCTTGAGCAGCCTCCGCCGCGAATCGGATCAAGCTGCTGAAAACAGGCACCTAACACCGGCCTGTGAGAACAACGGCCCTGGCCTCGCCGCCGCCCCATCTGCTGATAATTTCTCACCTTCTGAAGTGGTCAGAGGTTAGTCATAATGAGAGAAAAGTGCAGGAAAAAACCCCTCGGTGGTC